GTCAATATGATTCTGTACATCCAGTCTTAATTTTTATTTTCTTTGATTGAATTTTATTGTGTGCTAATATTATAATTCGCCTTTTATTTTTGGGTTAATAAAATCATTTGTTAATGTAGAGGAAACGCCGGCGGTTGCTGCCAATTTAATTTAACCAATTAAGTAATTAATTGAATTAATTGTGTTAGTTTTAGATGTTATTTTCTGACTAATGTAAAACTGTACAGTTTGAGCACGAATAGACACTATTGTTATTATTATTTTTAAAATTCAGTAAAGGAAATCTCACTTCAAACAAAGTATGGATTTTTACTTCCCCAGCGTATGTTTTCTCGATGTTTCATGACCCATACAGCACGAAAAAAGTAGTCTCCCGGTTCCGTCTGTCTGTCTGTCTGTCTGTCTGTCTGTATCCATTTTTATTAGACACGCAATCTCGGAAACTACTGGACCGATTGTTGTCAAATTTTGAATATATGTTAGAAATATCATGTAGATGGTTAAATGCCAGCCAAAATTTGGCTAATCATCCCCACCAACAATTTGATGACGTCATCTCAATGAACCGTATTTTAAAATGAGTTGAATGTTCAAATTTTCGCAAAAACAATTGCACGGTATAATAACGTTATCTTTGTTTTTTTTTAAATATATAGAGTTTTTTTTCAACAACAGGATAGTTAAATACGTTGCCAGTTTCTTGTTGGGAAAAGAAAACTTCGTATCTTAAGAAAATATGGACAAAATATAAGCCCCGCCCACCCACCCCTTCTCAATTGTGATGAATATTTTATTCATCGTGAGCCGAAGGACGGAGTTTAGTTTGCAAAATCCTCATTTCTCTACAAGAAATTACCATATGAAATATGTTTTTAAAAGGGTAGAAATTTTAGAGAAATATTCATGTTACAATTAAACTCTACCCTTGAGTCTAATTATGAATGAAGAACATGTTTTCAGTTTTTTGTTGGAAAAAGAAGACTTCGTATATTAAGAAAAATGGACAAAATATAAGCCCCGCCCACCCACCCTTTCTCAATTGTGACGAATGTTTTATTCGTCGTGAGCTGAAGGGCGGAGTTTAGTTTGCAAAATCCTCATTTCTCTACAAGAAATTATCATATGAAATATGTTTTTAAAAGAGAGAAATATTGATGTTACAATTAAACTCCGACTTTCGGACTGAATGCGAATGAAATACTCATCACAAATGAGATCGGGGTGGGTGGGTGGGGCTTAATCTTTGTTTTAAGCGAACGAAGTATTGTAATCGAGTCCGTCGGTCGACTCTCTTCTTTTACGTTTTCTCGACCTTTAATGGCCCCTACAGGACGAAGAATTGGGTCTCCTTTTTCCGTTTGTCTGTCTATCTGTCCGTCTGTCCGTCTGTCTGCCGTCCCGGATTTTTATTAGACAGAAAATATCCGAAAGTACGGGGCCGATTGTTGTCAAATTTTGTATTTATATTAGGAATATCATGTAGATGGTAAAACGCTAACTAAAATTTCTCTTATCATCCCCACCACTAATGCGATGACGTCACTTCAAAATTGTGCATGTAAATGGGTTTTAAATTGTATAAAATAACATAGTCCTAAACATGTAGTTTATGACTCCAAATAGAGTTTCTACTCGAAACGTCCAGATTTTTGGCAAAAAAATCAAAATTACAAAACAACATTTTGCAATTTAATTTTGAATCTGCTAAACCGAATGCTTCGAAATCTTGCAGATGTTTTAAATTATATTATAATTATAACTATATTATAGTTATAGTATTTTTGGATATTTCAGTTTTCGGATTGTTCAGGTTTTCCATTTTTCAGTTTTTCTTTCATTTTTCAGTTTTTGGATGTCACAGTTTTGGGATTTTTCAATATTTCGATTCTCCGACTTTTCGATTTTTGACTCCTGGATTTTTCGATGTGTCGATTATTTTACTTTTTCGATTTTTCGATTTTTAAATTTTAGATTTTTTAATTTTTAAAATTTTAGGTTTTTGCGTTTTCTCGATTTTTCAGTTCAGTTCTTCGGTATTTGAATTTTTTAAGTTTTCGAATTTTTCAGTCTTGTGATATTTTAATTTTTCAATATTTCTTAATCTTTCGATTTTTCGACTTCCTGGTTTTAGATGTTCGATCTTTTGATTTTTCGATTTGTTAATTTTTCATTCCCGATTTATCAGTTTTTCAATTTTTTATTTTGGCCTATTTCAGTTTCTCAGTTTTTCCAGTTTTCCATTTTTTCGTTTTTTGATTTTTCCGCTTTTCCAATTTTTCAATTTTTAACTTTTTGTTTGTCGATTTCTCTATTTTTCGATTTTTCGGCTTCATCACTTTTCGATTTCTCGTTCTTTTGATCTTTCCATCTCTCAATTTTTCAATTTTTCGAATTTTTAAGTTTTTTGATTTCTCGATTTATCGAGATTTGGATTTTTCGATATTTTGATTGTCAATTTCTCAATTTATAAATTGTTCAATTTTTAACTTTTCGATTTTGACCTATTTCGGTTTCTCAATTGTTCGACTTTTCGTCTCCACGATTTCTTGATCTTTTGATTTTTCGATTTTCCAGTTTTTCGATGTTCCGATTTTTCAGTTATCCGATTTTTTAAATTCGGGAGTTTCGATTTCTCGATTTTCCGTTATTCGGTTTTTAAATTTTAGATTTTTGAATTTTACATTTTTTCGATTTACTGATGTTACGATTTTTTAGGGTTTCGATTTTTCTATTATTAGATTCCTCTATTTTTCGAATTTTCGATTATTTTAATTTTTCTTTTTTTTTTCTCACTGTTAATATCATCCAAAAATTGTCACTAAATTATAAATTTTTAGTCAAAATATAGTTGCTTATCCCCTTCAAAAAATTGATGACGTCAACTCAAAAGTTTGCCGAAATAAATCCTATCTAAAACGTACAAAATATACTTGTAATTTATCATTCCATTAATATTTTTTGGATTTGCATATACAGGGTGACTCAAAAAAATTAATGATTGTGTAAATTTATTTTATTGATGTAATCAGGAACTCCAAACCGAATGCTTTGAAATCTTGGAGACGTTTTAAAGTTATCATAAACATGGTAAATTTTTTATCAAAATGTATTTGCTCATCCCCCTAAACAATTGATGACGTCACCCCAAAATTTTGCTCAATAAATCCTGCCTAAAATGTGCAAAATATGAGTTTTGTACTTGTGATTTATCATTCCATTGATATTTTTTGGATTTTAGTATACGGGGTGACTTACAAAAAATTATCATTGTATTTCAGGAGCTAGGGAAGTTCTTTCGAAACAACTTTCGACCATTTTTTTTAATATATAGAGCTCTTTCAACAGCAGGAAAGTAAAACATTTTTTCAGTTTTTTGTTGGAAAAAGAAGACTTCGTATATTAAGTAAAAATGGACAAAATATAAACACCGCCCACCCACCCCTTCTCAATTGTGATGAATGTTTTATTCATCATGAGTTGAAGCACGGAGTTTAATTTGCAAAATCCTCGTTTCTTTACAAGAAATTAAACACAAATTTTTAAGTATCGTGTTGTTAAAAAAATAAATTGTATGTTAAGAAAAAAAGGCAAAATATAAACCCCGCCCACCCACCCCATCTCAATTATATAAAAATATATTTTTAAAAGGTAGATTTTTTTTAGAAAAATATTAATGTGGAGCTTAATCTTAACTCGTGAAACTTCAAATCGAAAAACTGCAAAATCTAAAAATGTAATGAGTTAGATATAGGAAAATTGAACAAAGAAAAAAGAAAACTTGAAAAATTGTAAACAGAAAAATTGAAAAAACCAAAAATTGTAAAATCAGAACATTGAAAAATTGTAAGAATAAAGAAAATAAAACTGAAGCAAACAATTGCGTATGGAAAAATTAAAAATTGAAAACTAGAGAAACTCAAATTGAAAAATTGCAAAATCTAGAAATTGAATTGGAAAGTTAGAAAAAGTGCAAATCGAAAAAATTAAGGAACAAAAAAATAAAAAGATAGTTTTTACTTTATAGAGGTTATCAGAAAACAAAAATTGCAAAAAAATTATAATTTTTGATAGACGTGGGATTTTTTTTGGCTGTATTTCAGGGGCGAAGTAAGTTCTGTTTAAATTACATTCGATCAATTTTTACCTACCTCAAGACTGGTTTGGAATATTAAAATTTTGCTCATAAACGACACGTTATTTTATAAAAATTGAGTAGGATTTACTGCGCAAAATTTTGAAATGACGTCATCACATTGTTAGTGGGATGACAAGACAAATTTTGGTTAGCGTTTTACCATCTACACGTTATATAAAATGCACCTAAAGTTGCACAAAAAAATCACCAACATTACGACAGACAGACGGAAAATCGATGACGTCATCTCCAAAAATTATTAATTCAATTTGAAAAATATTTGCATTTATATGTGAACAATTTTTCTGTGTTGATGAAATGAAGTATTCTTTTTTTTGTAAACAAATATGTCTGTGTCTGTTAGGTTAATACAGACCGTCAATAAAATCATGGAAGTGTCCGTATTTTCTGGTGTCACAAATTGACAGCTACAACAAATGGGCGTTACTCAAACGTATCATCTTGCTTCCAAGTGTCGTCAGTCCGACTAGAATTGTCACCACGTACAATCAGCAACAATAATTTTTATTGATTTTGAACACTTGACTGAATGACGTAGTTTTTCCTTAGAGACTTGGTTCAGAAAAACTGATTAAAATAGCTTGAACTATCGACTTTAACACTTAAATCGGCATTATTTTATAATTTTTGTCAACAAATAACAGAATTCGCTTATTACCATCGCAAACGCATGCTCCCCAAGTCCATAAATTTTTGTAATATTTTATAATCAAGTAGGCGAGGTGGACCTTCGGTAGGAACCTCCCTGATATCGAGGGCTAAGCAATACGAGCGTCGAGCTGGCTTCGCCGCCCCGCCTTCCGAACTAATTTAGTTCAAATATCAGTTGATGAAGGCAGGCGTCAGTGTTTGATCGCCGGAGGCTACGTTACAGTTGTGGAAATAGTGACAAGTTGTTAATTAGTGCGCCCACGAAAGATTTGATGTTGATGTTGATGTGACAACTCGTAAAATGTCATACAATAATTCAACACATCATGCTGAAATTTTCCAATTTTCCGGCTACTCGACGACACTACATACACCATATCATTACATATCAGGTAGATTTTTTTGTTTTCAGTAGATGTGTGCGATATTGGATTTCATGTTTTGCATAACTGGGATATTTATTACCGTGAGAATGTCTTCAGTGCTATGCTTGTTTTGTTGTGAAACTTCCGCAGTAATAGTTTTCAATTATTATCAGAAAAAAAATTGATATCTAGTTCAAAAAAATATTCAAATGTCAATCGTGTTAGTTGTAGTTGTTGTAATTCGCCATTTGTAAATTTATCTACTTCTGGTCAATTTTTGAACTTTGACACTACAAAAACAAGATGCAAATAAAGTGGACCAAAATACACCGAATTAAAAACACTATAGGTCCTAAGCTCAAACAATGATTTTCGTTTCCACAAAGACGAACCGTAATCGTAGACTGCTGTAAACACCTATTTTTATTTATGACTTTTTCAGTTCTAAATTTATATATTATTTTATGACAGACAAATTATGCATCTATAAACGACGAAAAAATAAATATTCCGATCATAAAAGCTGCAAAAATTTGTTTCTGGTCTTTTTAAAAGCGATGTTAAAAATATTACTTTGGGTCTTAAATCACGATATAAAACCAAATTAATTTAACTTTGGAGGAAAATAGTCGACAGTCAGACGGACAAGTGTTTTATAATAGACTGTCTGACAGTATGACAAAATAGTCAAAATTTACATCGTGTTGACTGCGGATTTTTTAATAGCACCCATTTTCGAATTTTTAAAAATTATACAGTTCTTTGGTTTTACGATTTCTCAGTTTTTTGATTTTTATTTTGCAATTTTTTAATTGTACAGTGTTTTGATTTGCAAGTTTGCGAGTTTTCAATTTTCAGTTTTTCAAAATTTTGATTTTACAGTCAGCTGGATTTGTAAATTTCTAGATCGTTTATTCGGTTTTTGGATTTTTCAGTTTTCCGATTTTAGGTTTTTTCTTTTAATTTAATTTTACAATTTTTGGTATTTCTTATTTTTGGATTTTGAAATTTTTCGGTCTCCCAGATTTTTGATTTGCAATTTTTCGACATTTCAATTTTGCACTTTCAATTAATCGAGATTTTCATTTTTAATTTAATTATAAAAGAACAGATTTATTAAAACTGAAATCATCACGATGTTACAGTTTTCGGATTTTTCAATTTTTATATCAAAATTTTTCTGAACTAATTAATATTTAATTGCTTTCACCGCGTTTGTTTATATTGTGTTGACTGAGCATTTTTTTAATAGGGCCCATTTCTGAGTTTTTCAAAATTCTTTAGTTTTCCGATTTTGAAATTTCTCGATTTTCCTATTTTCGTTAGATTGTACAGCTTTTTGAATTTGTTGAAGTTTTTCAAAGTTCTGTTTATCAACTCCTGATTTTTTAAATTCTTCGATTTTTTAGTTACTTAAATTTTTAATTTTTTCAATTTAGAATTATTTTTTCGCTTTCAAGTTTTCTAGTAAACAATTTAAACTGAAAACTCAAAAAATTGCAAATCAAAATACTGGAGAAAGGAAAAATTAAAAATCGAGAAATGGAAAATTCGAAACACTGACAAACGAAAAAAGTAAAAATCCGTATTTGGAAAAAATTGTCTAGAAATATATCGGTCATTGCTTCACCTGCCTCATAGAATAGACCGCCTCTGTAATAGGTAAATAAGCATGCTATGCGTATGTTTCAAGTAATTTTGTGCAAGAGTATATGTATTATTTTATAAAATTTAAATAACATTTACTTGTGTAAATTTTGGAGATGACGTTATCCCATTGTTGGTGGGGATGATCAACAAATTTTGGTTAGCCTTTTACCATCTACACGATATTCCCAACATACATATAAAATTTGACAACAATCGGTCCGGTAGTTTCAACGATTTCAAAGATGACCATAATTATCACAGCTAATACATTTTAGATTAGTAGTTGCCTGAGCGGCCCTCTTCTACTATATTTAAATCATTAAATAAGTGTTTAAAAGTTCGTAAAACCGGTTTTTTGGAGGGGCTGAATACATATGTTTAAGTACCTAGTTAATGTCCTATTATCAGTGAATAAATATAGCGTTTTATTGTATTATGATAATTTTAAAGTACACGCAAAATTTCAAGGTAATCGTATCCGTCTAATCACCAACAGACAGGTGACAGACAGACTGACGGAAGCGGACAATCTGCATTTTCGTTTTCTGTAAGCTGTGAACGTCACGATCATTCGCTAAGCATGATAAGTACTTAAAAAAACATAAAAACCTTGATGGTGGTTTTAATTTATAATTAATACATCAAGTGAGACAATATCGCACGACGCAGACCCAAGGGAGTCGTAAAATGTGAAACTGGATCCACTTACGGATTTAATTTTTTGTTTTAACACTAGGGAATTAATTTGTCACATGAATATGAATTCACTCTTGGTGAAATCCGACTTAAAAAATATTTATTAATTTTTTAAACTGAACTTGTATAGTACTGCTTTAATATAACCGGTTTTTAGATGACGTATTTCATCAGTTAACTTGATTCTGTGTGTTTGAGATTCTGCATACTTGAAAAACCCTAGCTAAAATTTGTCCAGTTATTCCTTAAAAAAACTGATGACGTCATCTTAAAATTATTGAATACCTGTTTTCATTGTAGTTGCTTACGGAAAATAATGTATGTGTACAACCAGTTTCTCTAAAATTACGCATATATCATAATTATCGTTTTTACACCCACCAAAAATCTGATGACGTCATCTTTAAAAAATTAAGTATTGAAAACTACGCTCCTCGGCAAATTTGTTATTTCAGTAATGTTCAGGCAGGTTTACACGTTTAGGTAATCACGTCGATCAATTTAATAAAGTCCAGAGTCGCTTGTCTAACATAATAAGACTTGACATTTTCATTTTCACAAATTAATAACGTCAGAGCGGTGTTTGTTCAATCTGAGTTGAATTTAATGTGATGAAGTTAGAACATTTGTCGTGCAAGTGTATAACATACTCTACAAAAATTCTACAAAAATAAACACTACAGCTACTTATATTTTTCGTGATCTCATTGACACGTTTCTAATTCTTGTCAATGTGTTTATTTTAAATCTTAACTGTGATAATTTTCAACATGTGAGATTTCTGCACGTGTTAAAGTAGTTGGAATTGGTGAAAAAGTAGTTTTAGGTTAGGTAAAACTCAAGGAACGACGAATTAAGGATGGTGTTTGTAAGCGGAAACAGGACCGACTTTACTAAATATAAAGCCCGACGCAGAATCCATCTGAGCAAAAAGTGTTATTATTCTTATTGGTTTGAGCTTTCTGTTAAATTTTCCAAATATATGCTCATGTGAATGTTAATCTGTAAAGACAAATTTTGTTGTCGTTACTATAGTGTTTTGTGTGAATTCTGAAAACTCAGTTTTTTTCCATTTAACAGATGGTAGTACTTTAAACGGAGACGATTCAAATTTCTGGTCAAGCAGTCCACGATCTGAATCTCCCTCTCCAACTGATGATAGTACACCAAATGCATTAATTAATTCTTATTCTTATTTTGCCACATCGACCTCTCCAAGAGTACTTCTTCCAGAACAAAGACATTCACATTTTAGAAGAAGTAAGTATTAAATGAGTATTTTAATTAAAGTTACAAAAATCACTAAAAAAATAACTGATGCATGTTTAGCGAATAATAAAAGGGAAATAAATGTACCAGGTATCCGTAACTGTTATTGATACGTCAATCTAAGAACTGAGATTTTCAGTATATGCAGATTGTATTTGTACTGTCAAATATTTTTGATTGTTTAAATTTATGTATTCATCCCGAAAAATGATGACGTCATCTCCAAAAGTTGTTTTTCCAAGCAAGCATAGCATAAAAATAACTTACTTTCATGTTCCATAGCGGTTTGTAGAGCATATGGAGAAAACTAAATGCCGTTTTACTATACATTATTTCTTGAGAATTTTTGGTTATTTTGAAAGAGAACTAATCAAACTTTGTTTGTATAGGGTTATTTTGTAGAATTTAGCACTAAATTATAATTTATTTTACTATAATTTTTACGTAATTACTACCAGGAACTAATTTATCACGAATTCTTAGGTAGGCATTTGCGATTATTATTATCCAAAGATGAAAATCTTTTTCAGATATACTGAAACATAAACAACACTAGTATAAGAACAGGATCTCCTACCACGTAATGTGGTACTACAAGATTTGTTTATTTTGTTACTAGTGTGTCAACAGACCCATAATTAAAACAGAAAAGGGTAAAAACATGTAAAAAAAATAGTAGCACTTTTTACTTCACGCTGCAGCATAAAGCGCATATGGCAGAACTCAACTTACTCACTATTCTGTGCTAAATTCGACCTTATCTTATTGTTGTAAACAAAAACGTAAATAAAACTAACCTAGCGCAGTTCGAAGATTTTACAACAAATGTTTGGACTTTTTAACTACTTCCAACTTAACCTACTACAAATGTTTTGACTGAATCATTTACTTTCAGAACAGAATGTACCCCTAAGATTAGATACTCAGAACTTGCTGGCGTCACAATAGTTTCTGGGATGACTTTTATTTAAAAAATTATCAGATCAATTAGTCGCTCAATCTGCATGTAATCGGTCACACGTAGTTATAAAGTTACGGACTTGATATAGCTTTTTCCACACCTGGTATCATATAACTAAAATCCTTGAAACGGATATTTTATTAAATGCGCAGTATATGCTTAGAATACGATTTAACTCTGTTCGTTGTAGTAGTAATAACCCATTTATATGGGATCAAACAAAGGTAAAGTTTGAAGATGTACTTTACTTTTGTCGCGCCATGTACTCAAAATTTTGTCTCTCGGCGAAAATTTGCCCTCGGTTGTTTAATTTTTTTTCTTCTAGATTATCCACTTAACGCTTCTGTCGGCGACGACACAACTCCAACCCAGCATGTTCATGTTCCATATGTCAGAGTAGTAAAACGAAGAACAACCGCCAATAAAAAAGAAAGGCGTCGCACACAATCGATCAACAATGCGTACGCCGATTTACGTGATTGTATACCAAATGTACCACCTGACACGAAATTATCAAAAGTAATGCCCCATCACAAGTTCAGATAAAAATATAACGATTTTAATTATAGATTAAAACTTTAAGGCTAGCCACTTCCTACATCAATTATTTAGTAAAAGCGTTAGAATCTGATGATCCCGCTCCGGGGAGCTTCACCGCGGAGTTAGGATCTTCAGGAGTCAGTAGTAGAAGGCCAGCAATATCGAATAATTCCACGATACACCATGTAAACGACTGCTCGTCGAGCGGAGACATTTCACCGAGGAACGATTCCATTTCAGCGGTAAGCCACCCCTTAATCTAATAAACTCCCCCGAAATGACTTACAATAAATAAACTATAATTGCATTAAAAGAATGGAAATTTGGGGTTGCACGCCCGCTCTGGTGCCGATTATCGGTAGTTATCGCACTCTGACATCGCAGTCCACTTAAATTTATTAAAGGGCTGTCGACATTACGGCTTCATTATTATAATTAGCACACAATTAAGGTGCTTTCTCGAGTGTCAAATCAAACAGCTGGTATCACACCGGCAAACTAGAGTGTGTCCGTAACCTCACATTTAGCCAGTTCGATCAAACGAAAACGAATCTGCGTCGAAGAAATATCGTTGACATTCACGATATGTTTATATATTTATTATTGTAAACAGGAAGATGTTAACAAGACGACGACGAGGAAAGCGAAAGGACGTACAGGTTGGCCTCAGCACGTGTGGGCCCTCGAACTGGAACAAGATCAAGCGCTTTAACGGGACGGGATGTATGTAAATAAGTAGGCTTTATAACCTGGAAGTGTATCTTGAAGTCATTTCATTTGTCGAAATATCCTGAAATTGTATATAATATATCTATTTTAGTCTGAGGAGGCAGCCACATGGCCCCTAATGTAAACATTATTCACCTACGTACACCTAAGAATTATACATGAAAATTACATAGTTTATTATTAGATATTAGACATTAAAAATATCTACTATCCTATACTTGCTTACGTAGGTTGTACTTAGTCTTCTATGTAAGTAGGTAAAATTTTAATAAAATTTATACGTTATTTATTGGTTAATTAATTAATCTAGTGTTACACGTCATTCCTCAAAATTCCATACTTTTGCCGCCTACTTTACAAGTAATGTATATTTAGGTCAGGCATTTAGGATGTAATCTAATATCACTAAATGGAGCACCACCAAATCAATGTACATCTTTGTTTTTTGACTTTGAATTGTTGTTGGGCGTAACTTACTAGAATTACCGACAGGGATTGAGTATCATCCCATAGTAAATTAACTCAGGCTAAATAAACACAATTGATTAATTATAACGTGCTGAACTTTCTGACTAATATAAACATGGTAATTGTTTAATTTTAATATCCATAAAAGCCTAAAACTGAGTCCATAATCGTTTACAATTATTATTTAAGCCACTTAGAGCACCGAATCTAATAATGATGTTGGCACCATCGGTAGCTATTTAGGGGAATAACTGACTAATGTTGACAGTAATGATAATGAATTGCTGAAAAGAGCACATAAAACTGTTTTGTGATGGACGTAGATACAGTGGGACTTTGTATTCAGTATTTTGTTCTCGTCGAAGTTTATTTTTAACTTAAAATATGTCACTTCTTTAATACAATTAAAAGACTTTAAATATTTTTCACTTAAATTTCAGTTGTCAGGCAGTTATTTATTTTTATTTTTCACAACGTTGACAATATTCGCAACTTTTGCAATCGTGTGTATAAAATATTTATACTGGGGTCGTGCAAGCAAAATGATATTTATAGATACAATTTAATAGAACATAAAGTTGTCTGCTGCATGCTTGTAGTTTAATTATAAATAATAGTTTATAGCCAATAGTAATATAATTATGAACCGTATTTCTTAGCTGCATTATTCTGAAAATTCCCAGGGAAGCTTTAACTTTTGTAAATTTAAACTAATTTAGTGTAGTTGTAGAAAGACCTGTCAAACAAATTACAATTCAAGGTGGTAAAACGGTAACCAAAATTTGTCTGATACACTATGGTTGACCAATTCACCTTGATTTTTTACCTTAGACATTTAAATTTTTGGAAAAAAGAACCAAGAATTTATTTAATTGTTACGGGTGTTTAATTGAAAAATCTGCAGAGTAGGCGTTGGAGTATCATTTGACACAAACGGCATGTCTGTTCTTATAACATATAGCACATAACAGATTATGTTTCTGCCAAATGGATGTTATAAGAACAGACATGCCGTTTGTGTCAAATGAAATTTCAACTCCTCTAAGTGATTTTTCAGTTGAACACCCGTTACTTCAGGGACAAGGGAAGTTCTGTAAACAACTTTAGATCAATTTTTAGAAAATAATTCATTCCAAATTCATGAAAAAATTTCAATCCAAAATTATTATTAATGTATTCATGGTTGCATACATCGGACACCTTATTAGAAGAATTTACGTTGAAATGTTATGCCGAGCGGTAAATTAACCACATGACAATTAAACCAAAATTCCACGTATTTATTTGGTAATAATTCATATTATGGATGCGAAATAATAATAGTGCTTGTAGTGAATAATTATTATGTATTATAACAATGTTACCGTTATCAATAGTCAAACATTTTTTATTCACTTTTTGAAAGATATACCTAACAGTATATTTTTACACGAACGATGAGAACAGATGACAGCGTAGCTGTTGCAAAAAGAGCGACGCGATATTACCAACAGACAAAAAAATAAAAAACTCTGGAGCAAATAATTAATTATATATTCAAAACGTCATAGTGGGGCACAATTCTTACAGTTTTGATGACTGGCGCCGCTCTAAAAATACCGCAACAGGTAGTAGATCAGTGTCTTTTTTGTATTTTTGTTTCTCTACAATTTGCGTAAGAAAACCAGATTAAAATCAACTTTGCTTTTTTTCTGGAGAAAATTTGAAATTCAATCAACACTTTGTCGTGAAAACAAGTATAATTATGGGTCTTACAAAAATATAAAAACAGGTTCGCTACTTATTTACGCAAATACGAGTATCATTTTTAATTTTTACAAAAAATAATTTATTGAGAGTAAAAAAATAAATATAAAATTACTATGGCAAAAGCCTATATCTATAATTATAGTAGATGAGAACCTCTTTATTAACAAAAATTAAGCTATTATTCGTTACAAAATTGTTTATGTATAAAGATTATACAATTCGTTATTTTAAATTTTTGTTTATCCATGGGAGAAACTTTTCTACTCTCGTGTAAACGCCTGGGTATTGTCCTTTACCGCAGCCTATTCCCCAAGACACGATTCCCACTTGCGTCCATTTTCCGGAATTTACCATGAGAGGCCCTCCGCTGTCGCCCTGTAGCAGAAATAAAACGTGTAAAAAATAGTTCGAGCTTTTTTGAGTACAGTGTACTTGCTAAAGGTACCGTTACACAGTCGTGGTTGTCAAAAATAAGGAAATACTTACACTACACGAATCTCTGGCAGCTTGACCTGCACATAACATGTGTTCAACGATGCCACCAGGAGCCGCAGGCCCATATTTCAGTTTGCAGTCTCTATTGCTCCAAATGGGTATATTAACTTCTTGCAACACAGCTGGTTGTGGACCGCTCTCTCGCAGACTTCCCCACCCAATAACAGTACCTGTTTGTCCCGCAAAATCGCTACCTCCCGAAGGTAAACAAATCGGCCTTATTTGTTGAGAAAACTGCACAGGACTATCCAGTGTCAAAATCGCAATATCATTATACTAAAAATGAAAATTTCCCTATACATATAACGATTGTCTTAGGCACCTACCAACGTTCTAGGGTCAAAACCTCTGTGTCGTACAATTCGTTTAACCCTTTTCTCGACGTGCCTAATTTCGGTGCTTGTTTTAATATTGTGGTCGCCTAACCTCACCGTCAGTCTCGCCACATCCCAAGAACTCATACTGGAATATTATCAGTGAATTAAAGTTACTACAAAGGCGTGTTTACATGGGGCGGCTTGTAACAAACACGGTTCTATTTGTGTCGAAAAAACGTACAATAAACACGGTTCGGTTATCGGGTTACCGCTCCATGTAAATGCGCCTTTAAAGTGGCTACCTACTGGGCTACGCAGTGAGCCGCCGACAGAATGTGAATATTATCAATTAAGGATCCTCCACAGAACTGTCTGCCGCCGTTAAAAAGCGCCGCTATCCAAGGCCACTCTCCGACTTCCGCGTTGTGTCCACCCACAATTCGCTCTTGATCTTGGTAACCATTTTTAGCCCCGCAAGCTCCGGACGGCGGCGGCTGCGGCTGCGTTGGTACCGTCGGGGGTTTGGCGGTGATTACCGGCGGTCTGGTGGGTCTGATGGTTGGCGGCCACACCGCCACAGGCGGCTTGGCAGTCGGAGGGGGGTGGGTGGCCACGGGTTGCGGTAAGGTCGGGTATCCCGGACTCGGGGGATGAGTCGGTAGCGGCGGGATGGTGTGATCCGGAGGGTGGGTGGGGATCGGTGGCGGCCAGTTGGTTATTTGGGGATAAAACGATAAATGAATCTCGTTGAGGTTGGCACTGTTGTAAAGAGAATTCTGATTCTCTATCGGTTCCTCAGAAGTTGCGTTTTGTACTGGTTGTTGTCCAAGGTTCGTACAACAAACGCCAAACATCTAAAACGATTAAAAAGTAGTAAGTGTAAGGACAACTTGTTGTTTTTAAAAGTAAATGATCTTTTAAACATTCTTTTGTTTCCAAAAATAAATGAACTTTTATTTTAATTTTATAGACTCGATCTTGATGTTATAAAAAGTAATTATGTATCGGTATGTAACTGGATATACAGGAAAATATAACGCAAATTATGTGTTACTCTTCGAAATGCCAGGTAAGTCGAGCTGATTATTGTACGCAGGGCAGGGCAGGCGGCATTTGCCACGTCGGGTCCCTCTGCGGGCCTCTTTCGGTTTTAATAGCTTACACTTATATTCAGCTGACGCAACTCGCCGATTCGGGCCCTATTTTTTTTTTTTTTTTTTTTTTTTTAGTCGGGAATCGAACCCTAAACCACGGTGAAGCGGTTCTACGCTGACCCAACTACGCCACCCGCCACAACCATTCAAACATCACATTAAATCTAGTACCATCAGAATCATATAAATTTAATAGAGTAAATTTATATCTGGTAAAATTGTCTTTACCTGTCTACCTTGTGCTGTGTAATAACTGCATGTATCGTACATTCCTAAAATCCAGCTTTCAAAATTATTCAACTCGGGAACTTTGAAATATGGATAACATTGTCTAAAGGATGTACACTTGCCCAAAACACCTTTCCCGGTGAAACAAGGTCCTGTTGTTGCCAATGGAATGGAGTTTACATTTGCAGGTATTAAAAATGTTTGTCTGGCACTTTTTTGTTTGCGTACCTCAGGTGGACCTGAAAAGTAAAATATGTAGCCTACGCAACACCTGTGTATAATCAGAAATACAACTCTGTATACAGAAAGACGATTTAGCAGAGAAACATCAGGATGCTGAGGAATTTTTGATAACTTATGGTTTCCATTCCTCAACATCCCCGTGACGTTCGCACTGAAACTGAAAATCTGAAGAAAAATAGGAACTGCAAGCGAGGTCTGCTAATAATTGTATGATTAAACGATGATTATCCGACGCCAGGGACTACTTTATATTTTTTCTTATTCTTTATCATTATTCAAATTACTGATGATAGCCTTCAATTACCTTCTTTCATTTATTTATTCAAATTAGCCGATGAAAATTTCTTTAGTTTAAAATTCTTTTTTATTGTTTATTGTGTGGTTCATGAAAAATAAACGAAATGATTTACCAGTTTATTATCTCGTAAACAGTAATTATTGATTCTTAGTAAAGCTCTACACCCAAACTGGCCTGTGTACTATAATTTTATTCAATGTGACCCCTTAATGGCGGCTATTTTTACATAAGGATTTTTGAGTGATTGTAAAAAGTTTCCCCTACGTATAATTTGTGGTACTATAAAAGAAGTTAATTAATTGTCTGCAGTTTTGTATATGTCTTTAAAAAGTCGTTACAACATTTTATCTAAATTAAAAAAACCATTAAGTTTAAGTAGATAAGTGACTTAAAAGCGGCACCGCCTGACTCTAAAACTGTACCGTCAGTCTCAAAAAAGTTGCACCTGAAGTATTCAGATTATTTTAATAAACAACGAAGCGTCAAATTCCTGCTAATTACACTAATTTTACTATAAAACACTCCTCGAGCTTAAAATTTTCCAACCTGTGCACTTTTATCACGAGTCTACGAGACTGGCATTTTTTAAAACTGTAGATTAAACTGTTATCAAATATTCATGACACTTTTTTTGTTAATTTTTTGTTTGCTTATAAGGTACTAGTCAATCCAGTTTTCGTATACAACAAATTCCAGTAATTAACCTACGTGTTTAAGCTATCGGCAAAAAGTTAAAAGTTCAAAATAAAATAATCAGCTACAGAGTTGCACTGTCATTACAACGTCAAAACAAATCGTACTAACATGTTGCTTTTTTTGTTTGAAGTTACCAAACTTGTACAACATTAGTAATGTTATATTTTAAACACGTTATTAATGATGTCGAATTGTGCTCTACCTGCTCGAATATAGGCGTATAAGAATGCACAAGATTTAATGTTAAATTTTAAACAAGGCAACCGGTCTAAAAATCGCAAAAACATACTCGTGGGTGTAAAACTTTGTTGTTCGTAGTAAGACAACACTGATGGAATTTTTGTTGTTCTACGAAATGTTCTTGTTTTTCGTTTCTACCCAGTAGCGTAGCGCTCAAGGGGCCTGCAAAAGTTGAAAGGGGCCCAGAGTTACGGCCAGCATGCCACTATGAACCGAGATAAATTGGCAAAAATGTAACTATAACTGGTCTAAAATAACAACACAGACACGTGTGTGGTTACTAGAGGGTGACATTTTTGCAAAATTTTGCTACTAATACAAAAGTAATCACGACTAAAATGGAGCCATAAATCATAGAGAATAATTAATCTTGTCGTAAAAAATCATTGTAAAGAAATGATACATATCAATACTATGGTCCGGTGTTAAGGTGAATGTTCTTTGCGACCTTGGCAGTGGCTGATTGCGGGTGCCACGCCAGCAGGTGGTGTTAAAATTAATCTTGGCCAGACACAATGCCGATGATTAAACGTTACCAAATCCCAGAGTATGACAACGATCATAAAATTTTTTACAAACGGTGAAATATTTCACATACTATATCTACATACAACACACAAAATACCAACAATCACACACTCAAAACAAAATTACGCACACATGAGATTCCAATTAAACTAGTTAACATTCATGCTGCATACATTTTTTTGTTAGTTTTTTTTTTTTAATAGTATAGTAGTCCGTGTTTGTTTACAACCGCTATTTACAACTGTGAATTTTTTTTTCGTCCCTTGACTTACCTTCGATGACGACTGTGTCTGGATCTTCTTGTGCAAACAGTTGAACGGTAAACACAAATATCAAAAGCCACGAATAAATAACTTTACATGTTAACCCCATCGCGAAACATAAACAGCTACAAAGCAATCTTGGCACGACAATACGCCAAGCAATGTTCGTCGTTTGTGAACTTTTGAAGTTGCTCTTTTATAAAACACGTTCTTTGCATCGTCATCCCCCACTACAATAAAACGTCGCTTCAAGATTACAGAAACATCGATCTATAATTTAACAGTTTAATGTTGCTGGAAGATAACGGGGGTTGCTTGAGAGGGACAAATCGGATCGAACGAACGGTACAACTGCATGACGTTCAAAAATTATTTTTTTTATTATTCAAAGTCTGGATGCACGGTACGTCGAAAAAAAATTGTCGGTATGTCGGTGTGCAAAAATTTTGCAAGGACTCGGTTTTGTGGACAACAACTAGTAATTATAAGTGGGTAAATCTCATTCCAGTTGAATGTGACTTCAGGCCAATTTTAAACGCTGAATAATTTAAATGTTATTGCCTTGTCTTCTACGATTTTTTGTCCATTGGTAGTGGCGATATAGAACTACTAGTCTGCAAAATAACAAGCAAAAATTATAAATGAGATTTAAGTTATTTAGCGCCAAATCTGACCTCCAGCTACGTTCATTTCGATATAATTTATATGTTTACATCTCGTTTATTTTCATAAACTGTGACGATTCATTAATTTCGAACTTCATAGTTATGTAGTTGTACACTAGTCCCACAATTCTGGATTAATGAAATTTTTAACATTCTTTGTTGACGTATAATACAGGTTCTTAAACAAATTCTGTAACATTTTTGGTAGAAATTTCAAAACTCACAACTTACCGAAGTCAGTCAACTTAGATCACCAACGTGCGATCAAAATCGGCATCAGTTGGCGCTGAATTTTTATAGCCGTCTTTCTCACTCCGGTTGAGAGAGAGAAGGAGTTCTTCCAGTGCTAACTTGAGGATATTTTTTGTGACCACACTTTATAAATAAATAACTCGTAAATAAACTTCAACTATACAACTTACGAGCATCAAATATCAAAATTTTTCATCTTAAGTCATATTTTTCTGATGCTTGATATAATGTTCAACTATGACAATTACGTTGAACTGCTTCCAATAAACTAATCTCATCGTAAGTATGCTTTAAGTGTACCGAATGAGCAACGAGTTTGAATTTCCGTTATGGAGCAGCACTGCATTTGGAATTGATGAACAGTCTCGATTTTCTGAATTACGTTGCTGTTTTAGTTCTAAAAAAGACAAGCAAAATATTCGCGTCCCTTCCATGGTAATAAGTACAGTGAGGAGCGTCTAGTTTCGAACAACCAAAAATTTGTAGAACTCTATCTAGACATAAAAAATTCGATCATGCGTCGGTCGATCGTGGGTACCAGTACATGCAATCGAAAGCATTTCACAATTCATCATCAACATTTTCGAGTCTAACGGAGAAGGTAGCCGGCAGCAATCAGCTCCATTTGAGATATCTAAACACTGGAAACATCAATATAGACAGGTATTTAACCTAAATTAAAGAACTTCATTATAAAAGAATCATTAATCTTTGCGTATCTGTCTACAGCATTTTTCACTCAAGCCGAGTTTCGTTCCCAGCCCAGAAAAATGACGAATAAGTGTTTAACTTAAGTTATGGCAAGCAGATAACCACTTCTTGTGGCTAAAATATGCTTTAAGGCTAAGGGTTTCCCAGTCTACAACACGGTCAAATTTATCTTTATTCTCGTGTTCGTAAATCCAGTTTAGTTATCTACTGGTGCTTCTTGGAACATCAAATAGGTATAAACAAGCACGCACGACAGATTGGTGCGATTAAACCCACGTAGGTTTGAGAGATTTCGGCCTCTTGGATATATTTATGAAATTTTTGTAATTTAGTTATACAGAAGCTATTTATGAATAAATTTATGCACCATACAGTCAAAGTTCAACTATATGAAAATAAAGCGCGAAAATTCGTATGTATCAAATATTTAAAAGCATAATGAGTATTTTGCTTAAATAGAAATGTTTAATTAATTTCTAAATATTAAAAACAAAATTTAAGTAGCAATAAACATAAACAATAGAATACTGAGAAAAATAAGTGCCTAGACATAAAAGGTAGGTGCAAATAAAAATACCCGTTATGTGCAAGGTTGAGTAGGTTGTGGTAATATTGTGCACGGGTCATACCTTCCATAACTGATTATGCATGATGTAATACATGATTTAAAAATGAGTGAAAAAGTATAATAAAAACTAACTGTAATAAAAAATTTGGTTAAAAAAGTTGCAATATTGCAAGGTTTGATTATTTTAATCGTTATGTGTATTTGATAGTACTCACGATTAATATATTATTCAAATGTATTCCGACACCTCAGTTATGTTTTAAATTAACACTATATATGACTTGTCGTAAATTACCATTATGGTTAATTTTTCATTAGTCATACGTGGTCACACATTAGTAATTCGCTAGTCATTTATTTTATTACTTTATATGACATATATTTCATACAATTTTTAGAGTGTGTGGTTATTTCATTTAAAATAACCATGCCTTAAATAAATTATAATACACTGATCCCATTAAAAAATTGATGACGTCATTTTTATCCTGGCGACAGATTTCTTAATGCTTATCTTGGGATTAAATGATGTATGTATTACGCTAAATTCAAAAATAAATAAGTGCAGCAGGTTCGTAAACATCCGGTCTGTGCAAAAAAAGCTTCGACCCTGATAACTTGTGCTCTTTGACGGTGGTAACAAGGGGCGTGTTAACAAAGACATAGGTAATAAAACCACCTTTACCTTCTGTGCCCCTAATGAAATTAATTAAGAATCAATATGCTCTTCTCGACTTCCGCCTCTAGTCGCCTTCTGCAGCGTTCAATGGAGTGCTGGGCCAACAGCTTAAGATTTCTACAGGTCACTAGATGGCACTAATTGATCGATAAATTAATGATATATTAGTACTAGTGCTGCCCTCTATACTACACGTCATAAACTAGCCAACTTAATTTAAGTCAGACAGGAACAGAACCACGCCTTTTGTTAAGTCAAATCGTTGTGTCATGGCATATGTTACTACTTCCTGGTAGATTTGCAATTGAAAAGACAAACATCAAAGTCTGAGTTAAAGCAAACAAACCAACTGCAACTACATTATTCGCAGTATAATTCTGTCACAACAGATTTTATAACATCTTTAAACCAAAACCAAACTAAACAAAACAGCCAAAATCGTACTTCCGACTAAAAACCCAACTAAAAAGCAAATTAAAACAAACACATAACTCAAAACTCAACATCTTTACTTAACCAATATAACAACAATGTCAATTTGGAACACATTACTTATTATTAACATCGATAAGCGATTAAATACACTGTGACTTTAGGTATAATCGACTTTAATGGATTCACTATATAATACAGTATTACTTGACATTTATGAAATGGATTAACTTAAGCCAAAGCTAAACGACGCATTTCTTTTAACAATTCGTTCCCCATTTGTGCGGGTGACTTAGTCACAATAACACCGGCTTTCTCCAAAGCGTTGATTTTATCTTGTGCTCCACCTTTGCCGCCTGAGATTATGGCACCAGCGTGACCCATACGACGACCTGGAGGGGCAGACAAACCCGCGATGAAAGAAACAACGGGTTTGGCATTAGGTCCCTACAAACAACAACAGTATTAAGTATTGTACCACACTGACAAGTGACAGGTTTGAGTACGCATGCGCGACTAAAATATTACCGTGTTGTGCTTCAGCAAGTAATCCGCCGCTTGTTCTTCGGCAACACCTCCGATTTCACCGATTAGAATAATACCTTTAGTTTCAGGATCTTTGAGGAACACTTCAAGGCAGTCTATGAAGTCTGTTCCGTTGAAAGGATCGCCACCAATACCGACACACAGAGTTTGGCCTAAGCCAACTTGGGTGGTTTGGTGGACAGCTTCGTAAGTCAAAGTACCCGATCTAGACACAACTCCTACGACTCCTTTTTGGTGGATGTGACCAGGCATGATGCCGATTTTACACTGGAAACTTTATTTTGCAGAATTGTTTTTTTAAGTTGGGTTTTACCTGCTCTGGGGCTATAATTCCGGGACAATTCGGACCTACCAATCTAGTTTTGTTCTGACGGAGGAGTCTATGTTTTACTTTAACCATATCTTGTTGAGGAATGCCTTCAGTGATACAAACTATTAGTGATATTTCTGCGTCCATAGCTTCGTTAATGGCTGCAGCTGCCCCCGGAGGCGGCACATAGATGACGGTAGCGTCCGCACCGGTTGCCGCTTTTGCCTAAATTAAAATTACTTTTTAAAAAATAATAATCAAAGTTCTATACTTTCCACGCACTGTGTACAGATTAGTAATAAACGATGACAGATGATAGGTTATAAATTATATGCGAACACCTCTTAATTAATTTCATTACGGAAAAAAGATTACATTCCGATAAAAATGCTTCAAGTTAAATTGAGAACTAATCTATAGATCACCCAAAAAATAGATAAACAGATTAGTATGAGTGGCTATAAGATATAAAAAATTAAAGCTGTGATTTATGTTAATATCGCTAACCTCTTGTATTACAAGAGTTTTTTTTTAATGAACAGGGAAAAGATAATTTACATTTCTAACCCCACTTTTTGTTAACAAAAGCGACAATTAGATGACGTATTTCTACAAATGACAACAGATGGCGCTTTAATTCCAGGTGAATTATTGTCACCAACAATAAATAAATAATCTCGGAATTGGCATTTTTTTCTTGGCATCAAGTGGGTCTAGTTGAGCCAAGATAAAACAATTATTCATTTCTTAATATAACAACTGAACCCACAACAAAATCGTTTTCCGCCGCTGACTTTAAGGTTATGAAAATCAACAAATCAACACACCTCTTTAACAGAATTGAACACAGGTAGATCCAAGTGGGTTTTGCCTCCCTTTCCAGGAGACACCCCCCCGACCATTTTAGTACCATATTCGATAGCCTGCTTACTGTGGAAAGTTCCCTGTTTGCCCGTAAACCCCTGGCAGATAACCTTCGTATTCCCGGACAACTTGAGGTTAACCCTGGTAGCGTCGTAACTGTTGAAGCGAATTGACTGCCCAACTTTGAAACTATCAGCTGTAAACAAGAACAATTATCAATAAAATGTGAACTTTGCACCTGCTAGGTTATGATTTTTTTCGTCACTTGATTTGCGAAAAAGGCATTTCATAATCTCGCCAGTGTGCTAAGACGAATTAGGTTTATAGCGAATGACCCTGTCTATTTTAAAAACAAATTTAATTCAAGGATTATGTAATTTTGCACTTACGGATTATTCGGCTTAATATTCTTGCGTGTGTGGCCATTGTAACACTGTATGCACGCGATCGACGTCAAAAATAACTTATTTATTTTCGGTTTAACACATTAAAATTTTATAAGAAACTTTGCTTGTTGAACTATAACACAAAGTTCACACAACTCACACACACCAACATTTACCGAAAATGACAGAGAGCGATCTGTCAATGGATCTAAGAAGATGTAATGTGGGGGCAGGTTTCTGCTTTATCGGCCAAGTCGATTGCGCTCACTTGATGGAGCAGCGGAAAAGTTTCCAAAAAAAATGTACTAAATGTATTTTTTATTTATCTGTAGCACTCTAACACTGCTCTTCTAACTTAAAAAAATCAAGATCTGTTTCCAGTATGTTCGAAGCACATAAATAATAAATTCATTTAACGTTGTTTAATCCCTAAATCAAGTCAATATTCTACTAAAATTATTGACATTTTTCCAAAAATCTAGATGTCTAAAGAAAGTTTGTCACTTTTGAGATGACGTGTTACAGACAGACGGAAATGGGGACCGATTTTTCCAAACTTTAAGGAACACGCAAATATTTAGAAATGTTGTTCTCTCGTTCTTAAATCAATTCATCCAGTCTAATCCATTGTATTGTATGTAATATTTCTGAAATTCTACATATTAGAAGCAATACGTTTCTCCACTTCACGCTTAATGACATCATCTCAAACAATTACTGTATAAATCTTTATTGAACGATACGCCCGTCGTGCCTCTAATATTTGTTGTGCTTCAGATGCGTGGGAGGTTCCGTAAATAACTTTACAGATTTGTTATTCACGACAAGTTATTTAATTATACTAAACCCGGCATTATTTTTTTTATTTTCTGAGCAGGATCAGGAGTCTAACACTTAATGATGGTTAACTAGCTAGATAGTTAACGGATGAGTTCACCACGGTCGTTTCCGATAAAATTTTACCGGAATCTGCTCACGCACACCTGGAATTACAAAGAAGCAATGCCTACGCGAGGCTACTTTTTAAGTGGATATCCCGTGGGTAGATCTTTGCAATAAAATAAAATTACTCTGTTAAAAAATTTTGCCCTGATTTCAATTACCGAAATCGAATTAACAAACTCTGTTGTTTTCTTTTTGGAATTAAAGAACACAGTCCCTGAGTTGGTGAAAGGGAAAGAAAAGTTAGCTAGTGACTTATGAATAATTTTATTATTCACTCAAATTGTGGGTAGGTAAATAGTTAAAACAATAGTGCTCTAGTCTCAAGTAAACTAAATAAAACCCTGCATATTGGTAACACTGACAAAACAATACAACACAATTAAACAAACTAACTTACACGAATTCTAGAAAAGCGATTTTTATAAAACATATCAAAGGAAAATAAACAGTTAATAAATTTTTGATTAAATTTGAGAAGATTTAAATCGAAAATTCATGAAGACATTAATTAATATTGACAGTGGTGACTCACTTAAACAAAAGCAAACTTCCTAGGTACTGAGTGGACGTTACATAACTAATGTACCCCTACTTGTGCGACTACTACTACTATCCCAGCTTTTGGCAGAAACGACACTCGTCCTAAGGCTCGAATTTTCTTTCCCAATATCCTGTTTGCTGCTCTCTCGTCGATACATCACAACTTCTGTCTTTTCATAAAAAGCAGGAACTTCTGAAACAAAATTTATGAGTGACAATGTCGCTCGACGATGTGTACTTACTTTGAAAAACATAACTCTTTCTGTTCATTTGTAAAGTGGTACACTGGTGAATTTTGCTGTCCATTTTCCACGCTGTGCACTGAGAATTAAAAACGTTCTTCAACAATATTCGATGTTAAAATTTTCGGAGAATTCTGTCAAAAATTATTCAACGTTTGGCTTTTCCATATTTTTGTAAAATCACTTTCACAAGAATGATTAAATGGACCGTTACCGGTGTTTGAAGTCACATGGTTGGAATGAAGAATGTAAAAGAACCACTTGGTGCGAAGTGGTAGAGATAACGGTTTTAAAAAAAGCGATAAAAAGAAGCTGATAGTCAAAATCGCTGCAAAAGAAACGTTGTGTTTGCGATAACATGCATGTGTGAGCAAATTATGGAAAGTAAAACTTGACTGATTTAAAATAATGTTTTTTTTTTCACAGGGAAAATTGATCATAATTTAAAGTAAAATACGAAAAGTCAATGACAGGCAATGCCATCTTATAGATACAAATTTTCTTAATCATTTTGTTAATTTTATTTTTAACTTAGAGACAATTACGTTGTTTTATAACGAAATAATTTTTAACTAAGCATATACCTAACATCAAAAAGTGTCATAAATATTGGTAGAAAATGTATGGTGAATAATATATAATTTAAATTAATTAACAACTAGCAACTAAAGTTATTTAGACAGAAATTTCCTTGCCCCTGAAGTACAGGGTGTTGGTGAAATTTATTTATTAATGTGTCCCTTCATTTGACATTTTTCTAAATTAATTAATCTGTCAATTAGTTGTCAAACTTTTATTCAAATTTTAACGTTTATTTCTTTAAATCACGAAGGATACGGAAAAATATGGGCTATAAATTTATTATGAAGCCTATTTTTTGATTTGGCCAAGAAACCGCCAAAAACTGTATTTTTCGAAAGTGGCAAATTTTTTCGCCAATGCGTGTTCACGGCCCCCTAGATGTAAATTATTTATTAGCAATCTGTACAATCAAACAAATCCAATATTTTAGATGATTTATAAAATTTTATTGTGACAATTGTATATAAATAGGCGGCGTGGACTTTTAAATAAATTACCGAAGCTTGCTGTGATTTTTTTGAAATAAAATTTGTGATGATGTCATCAATTTTTTAGTAGTAACAAATATATAAATTCGGAGAGGTACAGTAATATTAATAACAAGATTTCAGACCAGGTCAGGTCAGGTCAAGTCAGGTTAGATCAGGTCAGGTCAGATCAGTACTGTCTTTCAGAATTTCAGATCAATGAAATCCGTTGTTTTTGATTAAATCAGTAAAATTATTTTGTTCTGCATAAGGAATTCAAAAAATGTTTGCAAATTTTAAATAGCACGGAGTAACAATTAATATTTGTGATTTTTTTTGTCAGGTTGGCAATTCAATTTGCTTCAGTCGTTAATAGTCACCCAGTGTCTAGCAAAATTGTGATTTGACGTCATCGAGAATAAATTAGTGATTAACGTTGTTTACGACAACTTCAAAATGGGTTGCAAGATTTTAAAGCAATTGGTTTTGTGGTTTCCGACATAAGTGTTCAAATTTTCTTGAGTAATTTTTTTTTTCGAAAATATAGATTTCTAAGATTAAAAAAAGCCGGATTAATAAACTACAAGTATAGGGTCATACTATTTCATAAAATTTCCTTATATTCATGCTCCTTTCTTATTTATTTTGAGTGTTGGTTTGTAGGTGAAGATTTGTTGTTTAATATATTCGTAATTTCGTACTTTTTTACTTTGAATTATGTATTTTTGTTGTTGATTTCAAATTCTTGCATTTGGTCTGCTGTTTACTTTTTGTATTATTGTAATCGAGTCCGTCGGCCGACTCTCTACTTTTACGTTTCCTCGACCTTTCACGATCCCTAGAGTACGAAAAAATAGGTCTCCCTTTTCATCAAAATTATGAAACAACATTTTGCAATTTAATTTTGAATCTGCAAAACCGAATGCTTTGAAATCTTGCACATAAAGGTTATGGTAGTCATGATAAATTTTTAATCAAAATATATTTGCTCATCCCCTCTAAAGAAATCATGACGTCAGCTCAAAATTTTGCTGAATAAATCCAGTGCAAAGTATGATATGTCTATACTTGTGATTTATCACTGCATTAATATTTTTTAGATTTGCTTATATAGGGTGTTTTAAAAAAAATCTTTTAATTTTTCGAAAGAGCTGGATTTGACAAGCTGTACTTTGTGGACGAGAAAAGTTCAATCGAAGTAATCTTCGACCAATTTTTTTATCAAATCAAGAACAGCGCCCATTTTACCGAAATTTTATAAAACACTATGCTCTTATTTTTAATCTTAGAAATCTAGATTTTTGAAAAAAATACTTTAGAAAATTTGAGCATTTTTATCTTTTTTAGGAAAAACCAGTTACCTTTCGTCTTTTTGTTTTAATATGTGTAGACTTGTTTTCACAACAAGAAACATAAAACATGTTTAAAATGGAAAATTTGCATAAGGAAATATTGCAATTAGGCTCCGCCCCAAACTTGCGAACTCCATTTTTCCTTGCAAAAATGTACCATTTGTTTTAAGTTTCTTGTTGTGAAAAATGGCTACGTATATTTAGAAAAAAAAGGTAAAATATAAGCCCCACCCACCCGCCCTATCCCAATTGTGATGATTTTTTTTTATTCGTCCTGAGCCAAGGGGACGGAGCTTAACTGCACTTACTCTACGAGAAATTAAAAACATATTTTTGAGGGCCGCGGCTTAATTGCAAGTTCCATATTTGTCTACAAGAATTTACCATTTTAAACATGTTTTAAGTTTCGTGTTCTAAAAAGACGACTACGTATATTAAGACAAAAGGCAAAATATAAGCCCCGCCCACCCGCCCTGTCTCACTTGTCATGATTTTTTCTATAATCGTTGAGAGCCAAAGGACCGAAATTTAACTGCAAAATTCTTATTATTTCTCTACAAGAAATTACCATGTAAGACATGTTTTTGAATATCGTGCTATTCAAAGAATACTATGTACATTAAAAAAAAATTTAAGCCAACGATGAAGCTCCACCCATATCTGCCCTGATATAAATAGTAATCAAGTTTTTATTCGTTGGCTGACCTAGAGGCGGAGCCTAATTGTAAAATACATATTTTCTTACAAAAATTTACCATTTTAAACGTGTTCTCAGTTTCTAAGAATAAAAAAATAATCACAATTTAGATGGGGCGGGTGGGCGGGGTTAATATTTTGCGTTCTTTTCTTAATATACATAGGATTTTTTGAACAACACGATACTCAACAGCATGTTTTTAATTTCTTGTAAAGAAATAACTATTTTGGAGTTAAGCTCCACCCCGTCAACAAGAATTTACCATTTTAAATATGTTTTAAGTTTCTTGTTTTGAAACGACGACTACGTATATTAAGAAAAAAAGCAAAATATAAGCCCCACCCACCCGCCCTATGTCATTTGTGATGATTT